TGCAGTTGAAGAATTATTTCTGGAAGGTGCACATGTGGCTGTTGGACAGGAACAGAATCAGGTTTGGTTGTGACAGCCTCATAGTAGCGTATCCAGCCAGAACTTATTCTCTGCTCGTGCCTGAAAATGGCCCCTTGAGTACGTGCTCAAGCAAAAGCCACTAACTTCAGGAAAAGAAGTGGAGCCAATTAAAAGTGACGTTTGATTTTAAAGGCACACGCTGACTGGAATTCATCCTTGTTTTTCAGAGAGTGTCAAAGACCTAATCCGGTACTTAAGACACGAAGATGAGACAAGAGACATTCGGCAGCAACTGGGAGCTGCACAGATTCTACAGAATGACCTGCTACCCATTATCACACAGTATCCTCAGGAGAAGGTGCTGTATGAAGCAGTTATCAGGTATCAATCAAGTTTGAAAGCATTTTGCTGCATGGAGCATTTTTGCCGAGTGCTCCTCGCATTGAAAAGGGCTGTGTTGTCTGCATTTAGGTAGTGTCTCAGACCACAGCAGTGAAATGTCAATCATCTCCAAATTGTAAAACAGGTGATTTGCTGTAATCGAGTAAATAAGATAACTAAGTATCCATTTGGCTCGTCTAAAGGGACTATCTTTGGCTCCTTGTGATGAATATTTCAAAGTGGAACTTGAGAAATCCAAAGAAACCCAATTGTTTAAAGGAAAGGAAACTTGAGGTGAAAAGGAGGTGGGTGGGAGTTGAGTGATGAAATACTTTCTGGGATGGGAGAGCTAATACAGTTTCAAATCTAGCCTTGGAATAGCGGGTGTTTAGCCTGTGAACAATGCTTTAGTGTGGTGGGGGGAGAGGGGCATGCATTAGAAGGTTGGCTTTGTAATCAAAGCCATGCAACAAATAAAGATTGACTGTTTATGAACTCTATCAATTAGCTGGCTTTCCCATGCTGATCGAGGGGATATGCTGGACGTCATTGATATTTGAATCTTCCATTCTTGTATTTTCTTTCAAAGTTGGAAGATTTGTTTTTGAGATGGGGGTTTTTGCTGATGGGATGGTTGTTAGGCTGAGCAGTCATTACACTTTTTTTATTTAAGAGTCTAGGAGCTGATCATGAAGGCTGCTCTGAAAGCTCCTAATTCTGGTAAGAGGTGAAAGAGTCAATGTCGGGCATGTTGAAACAACATTAGGGGCACTATAAATTTATCAAACTTCAATCCTTACTAAGACAGGTGTGGAAGACTTTGAATGTCTAGGATAGGGCTTCCAAAAGTGGGGGTCAAACCCTAAGTAAGGTTGTGAGCTGAAATTTTTGGTGTGCAAGCTCTGAGGCAGCAATGACTGATCCCCTGCTTTTAGCTTTCCGTCTAACCCCTGCCCCCACAACACATTGACCATAATTTTCAAACCTGTGAATGGGGACATAGTGGGAAGTTGTTTGTGAAACATTAGTCTAGGAATTCCCTCTGGTGGCCAGAGCTTGGAGCTGCAACAGAACTGTCACATTAACAGGAAAGTTCCATTAAAACTATGATGGGGCACACATTAGACGTAGATATGATTAACAATAAAAATCTCCAACACTTTTGACAGTGCAGTTTTGAATGAATATGCCAAGTTTAATAATTGACTTTCATTTGTAGCACAGTGTAATGTGCGGTGTTTTCCACCCCTGTTTTTGTTTCTAGATTGTTGGTAAATCTAACACAGCCAGCACTTCTGTGTTTTGGGAAGGTTCCTGACAACCCTACCTTCAGACATCACTTTATGCAAGTGGTTTCATATCTGCAGGGGTACAAAGAGGTGAGTATGTAAAAATACCTCTACAGTCTCCTCAGTTATCTCCTTGAGAACTCTGAGGGACAGGACCAACCAATATTTGGATAGTCCAGGTGTGATTAGGGAGTAGAAGTACATAGTTCATTGAAAGCAGTGTCACAGGTGGACAGGGTGGTGAAGAAGGCATTTAGCATGCTGGCCTTCATTGGTTGAGGCATTGAGTATAGGAGTTGGAACGTTATGTTACAGCTGTATAAGTCGTTGGTGCGGCCGCACTTGGAATATTGTGTACGATTTTTGTCACCCTGTTATAGGAAAGACATAGTTAAACTGGAAAGTGTGCAAAGAAAATTGACGAGGATGTTGCCAGGACTAGTAGGCCTGAGTTATAGGGAGAGGTTGGCCAGGAGAGGACTTTATTCCTTGGAATGTAGGAGA